TGTCTCAATTACGTACAGTAATTTCTTTCTTCTTACCTTGTTTTTGTTTCTTTTGAGTTCAAAGATTAAAAGTTAAGGACATGAGTCTTTAAGTTTGACATGCAGGTTTAAAAGTTAAGGACATGCAGTCCTTAAATTTGACATGCAGGTTCAAAAGATAAGGACAGACAGTCCTTAACTTATAGTTTCAAGTTCAAAACTTAAGGACAGTCAGTACTTAAGTTATTGTTTCAAGTTCAAAACTTAAGGACTGTCTGTCCTTAACTTTGAGTTTAAAGTTTAAAAGTTAAGGACAGACAGTCCTCAAACAGTACTTAACTTACAGTTACAAGTTCAAAAGTTAAGGACGCTTGGTCTTGAAGTTTGAGTTCCAAGTTCAAAAGTTAAGGACATATAACCTTGAAGTCCTGAACTTAGAGTTCCAAGTTCAACAGTTAAGGACATGTAGTCCTGAAGTCCTGAACTTAGAGTTTCAAGTTCAAAAGTTAAGAACATCTAGTTCTGAAGTCCTTAAGTTAAGGACATGAGCAGAAGGGCATTTTCGTCCGAGCAGTTAACGTTTATTAAACCAGTGGCTAAAGACTAAAGACATAAATGCTGGCTTTAAAATAAAGACATGAGCGGTTAGTGGCTATCTGTGCAGATCGCCCAGGAATAGTATGTGATGGTGACCCATTAAAACTAGGCCGAGTCCCAAACGACCCAGTATTCTGAAACGCATCCCCGCGTCCGATCTCCTGATTCGGTCCGACATTTCTGCCTTTTAATCCTTCAAACGACGTTGCTTCACCCCAAAACACGTCGTCTCATAATTCACGCCTTTTAGCCGAAAGAGATCATAAAGGTCTCACTTTTATAACCCCCACCCAATTTCCTCCGACGAGATTAGGAATCTAGTGTGGCAGAAAATCTCTTCAACCACCGTCCACTATCCCATTGACCACAGTTGACCACGGACCTAAAATCATCTCTGCCGGCCGGAGTTCACAAAATTGCCGCAAACCACCCTTGTTCTTCTCTTGTTCTCCTCACCTACACCCTCTTGATAAGATCGAGTCCCAATTCTTTCCCCACTACCACCAGAATCAAAACCCTAGCCTGCTCTGCCCCTTTTTGATTTTACTCACAACAGTTGATAAAATGACCTTGAAACCTACACCATCTGATAGAATTCAGAAAGATCTATATAGTGGTGTTGGTATTAGGTCATTTAATGGTCATCGGCGCTGATCAACTCATTGTTGACCGGCCAAAATTCATGCAATCCCTTCGTCACCACACTCGTTTGACTCCCATGAGTCTTTCTTCCAAGAAGATCAATTAGGATTCTAAATCCAAGACGGATCTCTTGGAGGAAAGACCCTTGGAGGTCGAACAAATCAATGTCTGCCACCTATGTTCTTCCGGGCCCCTCTTAATCATAAATGGTATATTGTGAATCTGTAGTTCTTTTCCTACTTATCTTGCACTGTTTGAATGTGATCTCATGCGACCATGTGTTTTCCTGTCATTCAATTTGTTTGCACATTAACTATTAGGTTTTCTTTCAAGTTATAGTTTGTTTATTCTAGATTAGTTGATGGAATTAAATTGCGTGTTAATTGATAAGTATGGTCATTCTTTATATAATTGTGTGCATTTAAGATAACTTTATACCAGGCGTGAGTATAGCCTGATAAGGTTTTTTCTTAGATTACTAGTGGTTAATATTATGTTCACAGTATTCTTCCGTTTTCAATAGTGTCGGGCCTTATTTATTTGTTATTGTTATTATTTTCATCTATTTTCTAGTTCTTACGTCGTTATTATTTCTATGGTATGTTAATGGTACTGATGTATTTGTCTCTTTTCGTCTTCTTGAGACGTGAGTCTTTTGAAAACAGCATCTCTACCCTCTCGGGTAGGGATAAGGTCTGCGTACTCAGTACCTTTCCCAGACCCACTTATAAGATTTCACTGGATTATTGCTATTATTGTTGTTGCAAGTGGCTTGGTGGATTATTTGCAGCATGATTGTTGGCTAGCTTTTATTTATTTAATGGTATATTTATTTGTAGAATTTGTTCTTTTTGGATGTTAAGTCAAGTATTAGGTTTTGATGGAAGGATTTGGGAATTGAAACTGGTAAGTTGGGCCTGTTCTGAATATGAAACACTGGTCCATATGAAATACCTCAAGCCACCATGCCCAAAATCCACAATCGCGCGCAATTCTACATCAAGTACCCAAGGTGCATGACCATACCTACGGAGAAGAAAATGACACGATGCCACACAAACCCGAAAGAATATAACCAATGCGCAATTAATCATGTATCATCCAAATATATATCTCGCTTAAATTTCGCTATAAGGCCCCAATAGAACTGCACCATGTGTGCATATAATCAACGAATTACAACCCCTCGTAGCATAGAAGGGTAACTCATAGAACATATCAGAACATGAATAAGCTCAACACTAACTGAATGACACATCCCTCACAATGGCAGTACGGAGCCCACCGATTCGACCCGGTGTAAAATACACATCCTCATTAGGCCTACAAATGGGCCCCAAATCAACTCTGCTCATCCACAAATAGTTAAATAACCCTTCGAAGGTCAACAATGACCTAACCATGACACATACCATACTTTGACTAGCTTTTGCCACATTTTCACAGTCCACAACCACAAAACAATCTGCTCCTGAGAACTTCTAACCTCCAAATGCATAGAACACATAAAGTACCATATCTGATCCCAACTCCACTGCCTGAATGTCTAACACATCTATCATATACGAGCATCCCATAAGGAATACTTCCATAATTCTTCTGTGCCACTTATAAAATTTTGAATTTCAACAATCGATCAATCATGCGAGTACGACAATACCAATGAAACATCCGTAAGTCAAAACACAATGTGCCTTCCGAAATGCGCACCCTTCTCATGCAAGACCAAGCAGTTATAACATTCATCTAAACATAAGAAACCGTCCATGTTGTCTAAGAATTCAAGACCTTCTCTTCCAAAACTGAACCGTGAGCTTGCATACGCAAATCTTAATCCCACTCAATACACTGCATCAATCATGCCATAATATGAAAAGTACGAGGATCTCATAATCAACTCTGAGTCACAAGTATAATACATATTCAATTAGCCAGGAACCTTCCATTTGATCTCATCACGGACAAAATCACAATACACAACATGTTCCACACACCGGTAGGAAATATACACCTCGAACCATGGTAGAAACCACTGAGAATATCTTGAAACCCCTTTGCATATAACCAAGTCATCAGAACTGAATCTCTCTAACTCAACCGAGCCACGCAGGTCGCGAAACCCAAGCACTCGTAGAGACTCACCACATCATAAGTACATGAAAGAACTAATCCCATCCATTACTGTGTTGATCCAACATATTACTAAATTGTCATATTTCTCCAAGTTCCGAATTACCTTCAAATTGATACTTCTCCTAACTAGAACACCACGATCCTTAACCAAAACTCACCCCACTTACTCTAGCATAGAACTACACTGTCCTAAGGCCTATAAGCTATTGAATTCCCTCTTAAGTACCCCAAAAGTACCATAATCGAGATACCCACTCTGAAGATACCTTTTGCGAATCTAAAGTCGTTTCCTTCACCTTCCTGACATTGAAATATAGAATCCATAAGGATATTGAAATACCGCAAGTCCCGACCCCATCTGATGCAAATCTCAAATTCTAGCCATATACAAGTCTGGGAAATTCCCAATTGCCGCATATAAATCTTGAATCCATTAGAACATTCTCGAGAGTCATCCACTCCACTCAAATCTCAATTGCACCGATCAAATAGGCTGAACTACAATGTGCCCCATTAGCACAACAACACCCAAGGAAGTAACCCCACCTTAATGCAACCAAACAAATTCCTACACCATGCACACTATATCCTTCACGAATAACCACTCAATCATTCCATGATTTTCATATACCCATAGACTGTAATACAACTCTGTTTACCTTGAAAATGATATTAACAATTATATTTGATTTGGTGGTTCTAAAAATATGTGATTTATTTCAATACTAGTTGTTAGGAAATAGATGCTAAGTGTAAGTAAAGAGAATAAGGTATGCAAACCAATGTTTATGAAGGATCGAGGTCTTAAAATCAATGGAATCAGGGACCTCAGGTCCGATAATAGCAATAAATGAAGAATAATAAAGCTGAAAGACAGTATTGAGCGTGAGTAAAGCAGAAAATGTTCCATTGTGGTAAAGAAAAATGTCGTGTCCCCCTACAAGAATGTTTGGGTACCCTTTATATAGGAGGGGTGAATCCCAACACAGTACAAGCCCAATCATGACAGAGAAATGCTATTGGTACAGCTGTGTAACAGACTTTTACGGGCTTGTACTATCTTTGCAAACCTTACCAGCTTTAACCACGCGTCCTTGAGAGTTTTCCTGCCTTTCCATGATGGTCATTGAATTTATACTGCCTCGAGGTAGGCCGTGGTAAGCCTTCGACATGCTTTATCGAGGTATGCATTTCGGGGTCGAACTTCAGTTTTTACTCTGAGCCCCTCGAGATTGGGCTTGACATGCCATAGAGGCCTTGATATCGGGGCCCCCGGTATCGACCGCACACAGATAGTCCCCGCGTTTCTTAGAATGAAATGATAAAAAATGATTTGAATTATTTGACTCTTCGATGTCCCTATACACAGATAGTCAGCTGAGGTCAGTGAATGATGTGACAGAAAAGAAGTGCAAAAGTCACGCCTGTACATTTCTCGATAAGCTTTAAATCGAAAATGGCGGCTGGCCATCCTTTTACCTTCTTCAACATGCATGACTTTCCCTATAAATGCCTCAATCCTTCGTTGCTTAAACCTTTACTTTCACAATATCTTCGGATCTTTAGCAACTGTGTTTATACGCTCACTTCTTCCTTGTGTTCATCTCTCAACCGATTTCTTCTTCTTCTTCTGAGATTTTATAGCAAGAATGGCAAAAACCTCTAAAACTGTTCCCCAAAAAGAGAAAGCCCCTTCGTCATCATGCTCGTCTAAGAGCAAAACGGTACTACCACCTCGTATAGAGGAGTGTATTCCCAGGCCTTGTGAAATATCTTCTGATTTCTAGGTCGAAAAACCTTCCTCTATTCTGGGACGATGCGAACCTATGACTCGATACATCAGCCTAATAACTGAAACTAAGAAAGTGAAGGTTGACTGCCGTTGGGGGGAGGCGGTGCAAGTAGAGATTCCTTTACGTGAAGATGACATAACCAAACACAAATCCGGTTTTCTTAGTGTATACACATATCCTTTCACCTTAGGCCGGGTAGAAGTCTCTTCGCCACCGATAGACCCAGTGATCCTCGATTTCTGCAGACAATATCAGGTGACGCTTGGACAAATCTATCCATCATTCTAACGCATCGTTTATCTGGTTAGGTATTTCTCGAACATGGTCGAGGGGATGCCTTTTAACCTTGATCATCTGATTAGACTGTATACCCCTGACTTTATCGAGGTGGCCTAATTAAGTTAAAACGTCGATCCCCGAAGGACTTTTTTGCTAGCATTGATGAGGACAAGGACCAAGGGTGGATGAGCCGCTTTGTCTGATTTAGGACCTCGGACCTGATCTCCACTGAGAAAATGCCATTCCATGAGGAATGGAATATGAAATGTAGGTAAACATGTTTTGCTAATCGGATATCTTTTCTTGCCTTCGAATTAACTCCCTTCGATGATGCAGCTATCGAGTGGTACCACGGTACTGTCAAGGATCTCTCGGGCTGGGTCCGACAACTCGATTTGACCTGCCCATATGTGAAGCACGTGTGGCGTGATCTGGCTAAGACCCATTGGGAGGCCAAAAACCATGGTGAGTTTTTATTTCTGCCATACTCGAGCTCCTTAGAGAAGATATCTCTTGATAATACTTTCACCCTTTGTGCTTATGCAGGCCTTGGAGAGGCCGTTTTGATGAGGGAACCCCCGCATGGGGAAGCAAATACCCCGAAGCCCGCTAAGGAGAAAAAGAGAAAGAAGAAATCACCAGTTGAGTCCCCGAAGCCAAAGAAGGCTAAAGTTCAAAAGCCCAAGGTCGATTCAGCGGCCTTAACTTCGAAAGTAGCAGAGAGCCACCGAGCTGGGGGTGAAGAGAAAGATGACTCCCCGCTAGCACACTGGGGAAAAAGAAGCGTGATTGCTTCGGACCTTGCTGAGTCGATAGTTGTTGAGCCAAAGGCTTCTAAACTAGAAGTTGCTGATGCTTTCCTACCTCGGGCCGAAGAGGCTCTCGAGGGTGGATCAAATGATGTCCTTGAGTCGGTTGGCGGCCAAAACATTTCCCGAGCCGAGGGGCATTCGATAGATGAGTTAGGGGAGCCCAGTTCTGAGGCTCCTCAGAGGCAAGAGAAGGCCCTGATCGATCCAGCCAGAGTTATTGATGTGGGTGATTCCCCTCCGGGTCCGGCATTCTCTCCAAGGGAGATACGTGATGCGCATAATAGAGAGATTTCTGATATGGGGGTGTCCCTTAGGGAGAATGATGCGTTTGAAGGATTCTTCACTGGGATCAGAGAAAAGCCCGAGCTTAATGCCCCGCTCATTTTCGAGGAAGCCGAGAGGCTCTGCAAACAGGTAATCTTTCGTCGACTATGCTCTGAGCTCCGATCCTCATCTTCCTTATTTTGTACTTTTACGCTTTTAGGCTATAGTGCTTTACAATCAGGCCTTTGCTAAGTCTCAAGCTGAGTTGACCCACTATGAGGAAGAGTGTCGGAGGCTCTCATTAGAGGCTGACGGGCTCAGAGCTCTTTTTACCAAAAAAGAGGAAGAACTTCATGACCTTCGGGCTCGTTTGGAGATGGTGTCTTGAGAGCGGACCGCTCTTGCTGGGCAGGTAATACAGTCTTCGTATGTTTTTATTTTCGTGCTTGTCCGACTTTAGCATTTAACACCTTTGGGTTGATTTTTGCAGCTTGAGCAGAAAGATATCCTGATGAAGGAGGGGCTCAGAGGCAGGGATATTGAGATTCTCGGACTCAAGCAGCATGTGGACGAGATAGCCGCCGAGAGAGATACCCTCCAGTGGAAGTTGACCTCGGTTGAGCATCATCTTCAGGATGCAAGGGAAGATAGTCATAAGTATAAGGATCTCTTTGTTAACTCGGTCGCCGCTCTATCTGCAGCCAAGTCCGAAGCCGATGCGCTCATATCCTCGTACCGAGAAGATGCTATTGCTACAAATGCTCGAGCCAAGAAGGTATCTGAAGAGGTTGAGCTTGAACTGACCCGAGCCCTGAAGGATGCCCGATTAAGATCTCGGAGATAGGCTCTCGAGGATGTATATGCAGGGGGCATCGATTTGTCTGTTGAGATCGAGAGGGTGAAGGCCCTAGAGGAAGAATCGGCAGCTCTACTTTCTTTCGATGATGGTTCAGCCAATGGTTCAGCCAACAACTCGAAGGATGATGAAGATGAAGGTGAAGTCCCCGAGAGAGAGGAGGCCGTTGATGTTCCGGGGGTCGAGGGCCAAGCCATTGAAGACACAACTTCCGAGGGAGATCCGTCCAGTCAAGTGACCCCCACAGCAGATTAGGTTTTTTTTGTTCCTTTTTTGTGTAAGTGCTCTGATCGCTGCCAACTCCACACTACTAAAAGGTACGAAGAGAAGGTCGCAATAGCTTTTACCCGATATGAGGGTCAGGATCGATTTCCACAGGGAGCTAGGAATGGAGTCGAGTATCTATCTAGACTAGAGTTGTGTATTTGTTCCTAATGTCACTTCTATACATTTTTGGGTTTTTGATTATAAACTACTATTACCAAACTATTAATTGAAACTAGATTATGCTACGAGATAATTACTAAGTTATATCTAATGGGAAGAAGGGCACTAGGGTCATGACATTACCTAGGTGGCTAATTGACGGGTAGATATTACTAAGGTTCGATTGACATAATTGGGGCTTATGCTATAACCGTTGCACAATTTTACCCACTCNAATTTTACCTACTCTCACACCTCTCGGTAGAGAGAGTGATTTTGCCCAATTGACTCTCTCGAGACCAGATGGGTAGGCCAATTAGCTCAAGCAACTAGGGTTCAAGTTGGGTAATTACTCTCTTGAGGCTTAACCCTTTAATTGGGACTATCAATTCTCTTGAGTCCATCCCAATTCCTTGTTGGGTCAATTTTGGAGACTTAGGCTCTCTTTCTCAAGAAGAGCCAAGTCAACTTAGCACAAACCAGTGTTTGCAACCACCAATTCATAGATTAAACCATAAAATTGACCCAAATAACAAACACCCATAGTCAATCTAACATTAGATGGCAACACCCATCAATTACCCACACTAGAGTTGAGCCACAACCCTAGCTAATGGGTTTAGCTACTCATGCTTGAAGGAGAAAATAGAGAAATAGATGAAGAAAAATGCATATTAATTAAATGCTAAATTAAAATACAAGAATATATCGTTAATTTGAAGCTAAGATGCCAAAAATGGCTACAGATGAAGTTTCCACGAACGCAGCTAAATTCTGGATATATTTGATGACCTAAAAATGGTAAAATGTTCTATTTATACTAGGCTCGAAGAACTGGACAAAAATATCCCTGCGGGTCAGCGCAGGCTGCATAAAATGGACTGCGGCCGCGCTAGGCTCTTGGACTTCAATCCTGGGCTCTCTGACTTGGGCTCCGCGGACCGCGTAGAATGCACCGCGGCCGTGGAGGCAGTTGTCGCGGTCCGCACAACCATGACCGCGGACTGTATTGGCATTTTTCATCTCTCTGAGTATCTCTTCCATGGATCGCACAAAAAAGGCAGTGCGGCCGCGGAACCTTCACCGCGGACCGCGCAATGTGGACTATGGCCGCGTTGCCTGAAGCCTAGTTTTGCCATCTCTCTGAATCACCTAGTGCGGCCGCATTCAACTTTGTGCAGTCCGCACTAGGCCTGTTTGCCCTCAGTTTACTTTGTCTTTGATACTTGAGCAGGTTTCACTCCTTTTGAGCCGATCTTTGACATTTCGTCACTTTGTCGATCAAACCTGCAATCAAGCACAACTTATGAGCCTTTTGGGACTATTTTGTAACGATTTATAATCAAAGCATAGGCAAGAAGGAGCATGAAACTCGTTAAAATCTCTACTTATCAACTCCCCCAAACTTAAGCCTTTGCTTGTCCTCAAACAAACAAAATAAGACCCACCCCTTATGGGAAAATCCAAGTATTTCCAACAATCCTAAAGTAACCTCAACAAGCATCAATTGGGACTAACAATTGCCCTCAATACGAATGAATCATTCACAACATTTAAACTTTGAAAAACTATGGATCAAGTGTGACACAAGAGCATCAAGAGTTGACTCATTACATCAAAGAACTCTCTCAATTACTTTGGTCATTGTGGAACCCAAACTCACACATCCTCAACTCTCCCTAAGCAAACCTCACCTTTTAGAGTATTAGCATACAAACCGAGGTTAATGGGAATTCACTCATCTCTCTTAAGGAAAGGCCACAAATCCAGCTCTAAGTACCATATGCTTGCCCCTCATGTAAGTATCCACTAATGTAAGCGTCATTTAGCTCAAGATCATATAGGGCTTTTGAGACGTCAATGTGAAGGTTTTTCGTCCAGGGTAGGAAAGGTTTTTGGTCTAAATGGGTTCCATCTTCCCTTAAGCACTTCCTTTGATTCATTTGGCCCAATTCTCTTGACTCTTTGAGTATCTCACTTCTTTTTAAGGGGTTAGAGAGACATAATATCACTCTTTCTTATGCACTTCAAAATGTTTCTCCTTTTTTCAACTTTTTCCACACCTTGTTTTTTTCTCTTTTGTTTTTTTTCTTGAATCCCTTTTTATTCTTTTTCACATTGGGCTTTCTTTTTGTCTTTTTCTTTTCTTTTCTTTTTCATTTCCTTCCTTTTCTTTGCTTTAGTACCTTTTACCACTTTGTTCCCTCTCTCGTCTCTCCCCCCCAAACATAGACTTTTGCTATTGCTCAAGGGAAGATCGGGTGCCAAAAGAGGGTATATTTTAGAACGGATATAGGCTTATAGTATTGTTTCTTGAAAGAGAAAGGTTTAAGGCTCAAAAGGGTTAACTAGGGATTATATCATTTGTGAGCTATGGAATTCAACTATCATTTGGATCAAAGAGAGCCTATAATCACTTCTCAAGCCAAATTTCACTCAAGATTTCGCCTCAACAGACATTCATGGAAAGTTCTAGACCATTGGCTCGGTACTTGGACACACAGTTTGATTTCTCACCACACAAGCTCAAGGATTGCTAAAGACATAGAGTCGGGGGCCCATAATAACCTTAGACACGATTGAGCACACAACAGTCTCGAAAGACCACATGATGATTGTTTGGACAACACAAGAGTCTCAAGGTCACGACTTTCACCATCCTAAACAAACAACTTGTCTTTGATCATGGGATCAAAGGCAAATGTGTTAGGCCCAAGTGAAGCTTTGCTTGAGGTACCCTTAACAATAAGCTACCAAAAATAAAAATAAAAACGGACTCAAACCCTTAATAAGGTTGTCACGCCATCCATCATCGGGAAGAGCTACCCGGTTCACACAATACTTAACCTTTGGAAAGAACCGTGGTATTAAGAAAACCAAAGGCTTATTGAAGTGCCAAAAACGAAACAGAAAGCTACGAGCCTATCTAAGAAGCTAAAAACGAAAAAGATTTTTACGAAAATATAAAATAGAATGAATATGTACAATAGGGGATTTGAATATACAATGGGGGATGAATATATACAATAGTGTAACTTTATATACAAACCAATGGGAAGATAAAAAATGTGATAAAAGTAGCTAAATGTAAAGTTATATACAGACCAATAGAAAATCAGAAATACATAAAATGTAACAATATATATAGTCATCCAAAAATGTAGGGCGCACCCCCTCAAATAAAAGCTAGCATTGTCCCTAAAGCCAAGTAAACAAATAAGCACCAAAAAGTATAAGGAAAGGATATGGGAACTCCCTAAGCTGTGTCCGTCTGCATGGGATCATCAGTTGTCCCCAGGTCCTCTGTATGCGCGGGAACCTCAGACTGGTTCCCGATCTCCTGATGCTCAGCTGCTGGGACTGGGGCCTGGACGAGTTGAATATCAGGAATATCCTGTGGCTGACTGGAGGAAGCCTCCGGTGGGTCCGCCAACTGGATGATCGCCTCATCTGCACTAGGGAGCTTCCTCTTCTTCTTTGGAAGCCTTTGTGTCTGCTCCTGCTATGGCTCTGTTGCTGGTACTGCTGCTGGAGCTGGGTCCTCAAATAGCAAATCTAAAGGCAACTGGTCTGCCTTCAGTCTGTCCACATCCACTTTAAGCTCCTTCACAAACTCCTTAGAAGCCCGTGTTTTGCGCAACTTCTTGTGCTCCATGGCAAGCTCCTTCAGGGCCTTGCCATGTGAATCCACTGCCTTAGCCAAGGCAGTCTAAGAATCAAGGATCTTCTGCTGGTTGGCAAGAATCTCCTTAAGTGAATCCTCGATAGACTGGGGCACCTGCACTGGCTGTGGTGCCGATTGAGCCGCAATGGTGGAGGTCAATGTAGACAACTTGGACGAAGCAGTTGCCATCCAGTTGTTCAAGCTATGAAGTGTATGGCTCACCTGGTGGGCGGTGATAGGATGGGCCTGGGAAGATGGAATCCCCGTGCCAGCTGAAGTAGAGGGACAAGCAGTAGTGGAAGGTTCGGGAGGCATGTCAGCAACTGTGGAGGCAGGCTCAGTGGAGGGCTCTACCGCAACCGACTCTTCAGACTGGCCAGTTGGGGCAGAAACAGGTGGCTTGTAATTCTTGTCCTTGGGGTTGTCTGACCCCTTCAAACTATACCACGAAAACGGAGCCACATGTTTGACCTTGATGTTAAAAGGTCTCTTCTCCACCTCCAGGTCCCGAAAATACATAGTGAGGGTGCTGGGAAAAGGGTAGTTCCGGTCATGCTCAACCCTCACTGCAGAAATGACACGGGACATCACATTGCCCACATTGATAGGGTATCCCGCCATAATAGATGCAATAAGAACAGCCTGGTCAAGTGGAATAGTCTGATCATGGGTAGTGGGGTCAAGCCGACTGCACACAAAAGTCAACCACCCCCTAGCCTGAAAGTTGAAAGTCCTCCGAAGTATTTTGGCCCCTGCTTGCAACCACTCTGGAACCGTACCCGAGATTTCTAGGTATGAATCTAACCACGGAAGAACCTCCTCGCCCATTGACAACTTTTCATTATAAAGGGACTCATCTTCTTCATTGAACCCCAGGTATTCATTTAGTGCCTTCTCGGTAAATACCACATTTTTGTTTCGCACTTTGGTCACCTTAGTGCCCTTCAAGATGTGGGCCACATTGCTATAAAACTCCTTGACCATGTGCTCATTCGGCTTCACACAATTATCTGTAAAGTGCTCCCAACCCACTCGAGCTCAAAACTGTTTATGTACATTGGGGTGTAGGGGTAGAAGGTCTCTGTCAATGAAGCTCCTCTCAAGAATCAATTTTCGTGCCGGCCACCATTCCCTAAACTTGTGGAACGCCACCTGACTGACAAAT